ATTGCATCCATGACATGCCCATCTATTGGGTCACTCCCTTCACGACAAGCCCATCTTTAGGGTCGCTGTCTCCACGACACACCTACCCTTCTGGGTCACTGCCTCCACGACACACCCACCATTTGAGTCACTGCCTCCGCGACACACCCATCTTCCGGATCATTGCCTCCACAACACACTCACTTCTTCGGATTACCGCCTTCATAGCATAGTCATCCTTTTGGGTCACTGTCTCCATGACAACTATCCTTCTGGTCGATGCGTCCATGACATGTCACCCTTTCGGGTCACTGCCTCCACGACACACCCATACCACAGACTGCTGCTTTCACGGCATGCTCTCCCTTTCGGGTCATTGCCTCCACGATATATTTATGCTCTGAACTGTTGCCTCCCGACATGCTCACCTTTTTGGGTAATTGTCTCAATGGCACGCCTATTTCTTTGGGTCGCTGGCTCCACGACACGCCCGATCCTAAGTCGTTGCCTCCACGGTACGACTGGTCCTGAGTCATTGCCTCCACGACACACTCCTCACCCCTTCTATCATATGATTGTTTGTATTTGCATTTATATGTGTGCATGGATAGTGAGCAAGGCTAGATAGGTAAGTGACCCCGTATTGGTTGAGATTCGTTAACGAGCATTGCTCGTCGGGTCGATCCTGACGAACACTATGAGTTAAAATATCAGGATTGACACAAATACGACTATGCTAAGGATTCAAGGGATCAAACATCTGCCACATTGTATGTTACGGGTCTGCCTTTAATGGAACATATTTTAAAACTAAGAAAATATATATTTTATTATTCATTACAACTGTTATAATTTTAAAATTATGCATATAACAAACTAGAGTCATATGTAAGACCAACTATTTTCAAAATTTATCTTAGGTGACATCTTTTAGATCCCTTAGATCTTTAGGAAATGGTCGGTATAGTGATCCCTTCAAAATCATACATACATGAATTTATCCTGAGCATTTAGAAGCTGGTCGGGATACTTTTTGTTAGATGGTGTGTTAGGCTAGAACTAGAATGCTAGGTAGTATTTTCGACGTCTTTGACTATTATTCTCTACTGGTTGTTCTAGCCAAGTGTCACTTTTATGTTTTTTGGTGTGTTTGTGTGCTTGATATGCATGATAGTATATTATGATGTTCTTCTTTAGGAACTTATATATATGCAGCACACAAGAATCATTAAAAGAGCATGTAATGATTTCTACTAATCTTTTACTTGTGTCATTTAGCTCCCCCGAAAAAAAGACGCGGCTCATTATATATTACATATTTGTAAGCTTTCCTGCTAACATTGTTTTCATGTAAGTCAAGTCCTCTTTTCTTTTTTTCCTTTGTACTTTTGGAGTCTTACGAGTCTTCTATTAGAAATAACGTACGTGCACGAGTAATGATGTGTCAAGCATACGGAACCGATGACAAGGACTATGAGTAGCAGACTCACGTCCCATACCTTAATTCTAAATCTCATTTATGTATAAATTAGGACCAAAAGTGTACTTATGTGATGTCTAGCTGTCTTTTTCTTCACTAAGATATGTTGCGATGTTTACCGTCTTTCTTGCATGTTTACATGCTTGAATTATTTACTCTTATTTATTTATGGTTGATCTAAATGTTACGAAAATTATAATCTTGACTCGATAAGAACCTTAAAATTATAAATTTTTTACTTAAAATCTTAATGATAAAAAATTGAGATAATAAAAAATTTTAATATTAAAATTGTCAGGAGATTCAAAAATCAGGTTTTATTTTCCTCAATGGCTTTCAGGCCATATTTTAAACGAGTTGCGTAGCATCACTCTTACTATAGTCATAATTAATAGGTGTCCACATTATAACTTATTAGCTAACTGCATCATATGCATGTCCTAAGGAAAAGCCCTCTATGCTTCCTCAATCTGACTCAATATAGATTTCTACTTAGGTAATTGTCTAGTGCCCTTAGGTTATTAGAAGACTCCCCGACCGAGACATAGTATAAGTCCTTTTGTTATGAGCATTTTCAGCTTTACAGTTGAACCTCCCATTTCTCCCCGTTCCAGCAGCATCATACTAGTTCGACAGGCATAAGTCCCCTTTTGGAACTTCACCTGATAGTCATAGTATAAAGTTTCGTTCCTTTAACCTTAGGGCTACTAAGGTTCCCACGGACGACGCAATTCACAGATTGTTGACTAGGAATCTCTGGGCGTATTTTGTCGACTACCTTCACGACCATATAAGACTTATGGTCCTGGTGGCTTGGGATGACAGGTCAGTGGTGCCCCAACCTGGCAACCTCTACTTGATAAAGATTACTCATACTTTCCTTTGACTACTCACTTTGAGTCCTATCAATCCTCTTGTTGTCATTGATGTCGTCTTGATGGTTTGATTGCCGATGAGCTGTCACCCGTTTGTCATACAATGATTTATCTTCTGTTCTTATAACCTGCAAGGGCTTTGACGTGTCAGAATTCCCCGTTAGGATGATTCGATTATTTCGTAGGCTTCGTGTGTCAAGTCTTTTACCCATGTGGGACCGTAAAAGGTTCACTCTCCGCTCTGTGGTTTAGCGAGAGCTTTGAAAACATCAGAGCATTCTCATGAGAAATAACTGCCCTTTGATGGCGCCGTGCTAAATTGTTATTTTAAATGTAAGCAAAACTCTCTGAATCAAGAGTATTCTTAGGCAACCTTCAAGATGTAATTAACCAAATAGGATGTCCCCTTGAGAGCACTCTAAACCCCATAACAGACAAACACATCTAAATCTCTATTTATAGGCAGTCTACATAGGTATTCTTTTGCGGATATTGACCCAAGGAACTTCCGTCTGAGCTTGTTTGAGCGGACATACTTGATCTATCATTGTGATGTTTATCACACGTATGCTCTCCATATTTTCTTTCTCTTGTTTGTCATCTTTGTTTTATGTACATCTTTTTCGCTTCCCCACTTCTCCTGATGGTTTTTATGATCCGGAAGATAGGTTTATTCAGAAAAGATAAGTAGACGATGATGAATAAACTCACAACTTCTCAAAAAATAAAAAGAGAAAATGTACAAAAACACGCACCAATTCAAGAAATGTGAAACAAAAAAATCAAACAAAGGCACAAAAAAAAAACAAAGTAAGATTTAACGTGAACCGAAAAAAACTACGGAGTCACACCACAAAAAAATTTACACTATAAAGAACAAGAAATATAAAAAAATATTCACTCTGATCTTCTGTCTACAATCAATAGAACTTACAGAACTTTGCTCCATGCACTTCCTCTCGATCTCACAAAAGAACTTGCACGTTGATATCCTCCTCCTCGACTCTTCTCTGTTACAACAAAACCTTTGCAAAACATCGCGCGCGAGAAAATAATCTTTCATTGCTGAAATCGCGAACTTAAAGAATTGTTTCAAAACAAACCATCTGACGACAGTCATGCTAAGTAGCAACATAATTATTTCGCCCGCTCTAGAAGAATGAATTGAAGGAGCAATCCTCTGTGGCACGACTACGCCTGTTGCGGCGTAGTTATGCCGCCCAACATAGTTATACCTGTTTCAAGTGTTGCTACGCCAAACCTAGGCGTATGGTTGCGACTGTGCTTCTAGGCACTTCTTCAGGCTCCATCCTTAACATCAATAACCACCTAAAGCAAGTCTATGGATTTCCCTTTTCTCCATAATACAAAAGCAACGATATAACATAATAGGTTCCTTCTATGCATCCTCAAGAGCAGTAATATAATGCAACACATTTACATATCACATCCCACTTTGGTGTCATTCTTTTCATTTATATAATCTCAAGGTAAAAATAAGAAACCTTCAGGACATAGTTTCTCAATGAGATGAGATACTAAGATGCTATACTAACATTTAGCATTTGTTAGCTTAAAAAAATTTTGAAATACATCATCTTCTAAAATGTAGTCATATAGGGCTATTATTGTACTCCCTTAAATGACACTTATTTTAAAAAAAAAAAACTCTGGACCAGCAATGTACCTCTTATCACTTATGACTCTTCTTGGTTTGATTTTAAAATACACACCCATATGATAAAGGCACCGCCACTAAAAAACACTATTTTGACATTTCATTATCTGCAACAAACTGAAATTGTCAAAGATTGTCACAACAAGATCATTTTTCTCACTTTGCTTGGAAATATTTTGCCAGGATAAGTTAAATTAATGAAGTGCTCCTGCCAACATGAAAGCATATTTGTAAAGTGAAAGCAGATATTAAATGAATGTATCATTATCATTAGTACATAACGGACTTTTCCTTGTTATGAATAAAGAACTTTTCAATTTCACATATACACACCTTAATATATTGAAACATAAATGCGTTAACAAGTGAATGAGGAAGTTCCAAAAATTCCATTTTAGGTTAACTAATTAGTGAAATATGCATTGTTCCTTTAAGCGAGCTCGAATGAGGAAAAATTGGTTTCTCAGATCATGCATAGTCTAGCTAATTTTGGCATTTCTAGGCTCGCTTGGGTAAAAGGTTTAGTCCCCTCCAAACTTGATAGTATCCATCTTAGAGTCAGCTAATGTAAAAAATGAGATGGCATGCCGAAGCTATTATATGGAACGGTGAACTATGGATCAGAAGCTGCTGTTTAAAGACAGATGTTTACAAATTAGCAAAAGTACATTCTAGAACTCAATATGATATTTCAGTCACAATTTTGATAGCGCATAGTAGATTATAGACTAGCTGCTCAAGTTAGGACAAGTATAAAGAAGATTAACACTGAATTTCTCTCAAGGGTTTATGAATTATGACTACCAAATGACACCAACAATGGATTATTAGAAGTAGCAACTGCAGTATGAAGGATGCAGGCATTGGAGCACAAATAATTGAAAAGAATAATAATGATAAAGCACAGCAAACATATAAAAAGGGTACCGAGTTAATGCCAACTGACTGAAATAAGATGAAGAATCAAATTCAAATCATAGAATCACACCATCAGGGTGATAGAGCTTCGCCAGCCTCCTATACGCAATCTTGATTTTATCCTCATTAGCATCTCTCTCCAACTCTACAAAAATAATATATTATTATCATGCATCAATTTATAGTAAGAAGAAATATCCAGGGTATACTATTTTGAGCGCCTAATCGAGCTGCAGTTATCCGAGACAGTTACCGAGAGTTTCGTAGGGGGATTTCTCGGAATTCCAATTAGATACCCTAGTTAGAGTCCTCTTGGTACTGGAGCGAGAAGCATGTGAAATTCTCGGTAGATCATCAACCGAAAAGCCGGAGGAGAATGAAGAATTGACGGAAGAAGGGGTTCGGAGCCTGGGGTTCCATGTGGCTGCTGAAAAACCAAGTCGAATGTGGACGCGGCAGCAAGAGATGAAGGAAGAAACGACTGCGTCGGGGAAGCAGAGCGCTCTGAGGCTGTTCATCCTAGAGGCAGATGGGAAGAAGAAGGTTACCGGCCGTTTAGGGTTTCACTTTGTAGAGAGAACAAAATTTCGAACTTTATACGTGGCGACTGGTTACCGGCACGACAATGGTGTGCGCTGCTTTGCTCAGACGAGAATTCTTAAAATAAAATTTACTTACAAGTATTTATGAAAAAAATAAATCAGGAAGATTTCAAATAAATATAATATAAATTTTATATATTTATATAATATTTAATAATTAAACATATAGAAAAATTACTAAGAAAGACACACTATCACTCTATATGAGATACATATATATATATATATATATATATATATATATATATATATATATAAACATAATGAAATCTAAGATTAAAATAATCATTTTTATAGTAAAACTTGACTTAACAGGCCTTACAAAATTTATATTTATCTAACAATGATGTTATTTACTTAGAACAATGACCTTTGAATAATGAGCTGCTCCATTGTTCTTCCTCGGAGAATCTTTATTTGAAGAATTCTCACTTAGGGGTATTAAATCAGCTCGTTAATTGCTTGAAAATCAATTTGATTTTTGACTCGGATCAAAATTGGATCAAATAATTTGAGTTGAACTATGAGCCACACTCAATAATCGGTTCATATTTGATCTATTTTTTGATACGCTGTCGGTTGGATCGAACGGCTCACAGTTGAGATCGTAGGTAGTGTTATTTGTGTTATTACTGTTAGGCAGAGCCGCGAAATGAATGACCATTCGGATCGAACGATTGAGATTATATTGCATGGTTTTCGTGATTGTGTTACCTTAAACTTACCTTGCGATCCTTCGCCACCCCCACTCATTCCCAATTCAAAAAAATCTCCCAGCCCACTTCCTCTTTTCTTCGTCTCTCAATCACTCTGTCTCTGTCCCTCCATCTCCCCTCCTTCGGTGACCATGGCGCTCCCAATTTCCTTATTTCCTCTCTCTAATCAGTTAGTTGCATGTGTCGTCTGTACGGCTATAATCAAGCCAAGCCGAGTATATCACATAGTTTGGATTAGGCATGATGCAATTATAAGTTGTTCATTCTCGACTTAAGCTTGCGTCGAGTTTTCAAATATTATTAACCTTAACTTGTTTAAAATTTTCAATGTTTTAACTTAATTTCTACTCGATTTGTTTATGATAAGTGAACGAGTATTTAAACGAGCCAAAATTCAATGAGTATTCTAGATTTTCATAAAAAATATATATAATTTTTACATATCTAGATAAATAACCTATTATATGATATAAGTAAATAAATTAACTCACATGTTGTAATCTAGCGTCTATAATAAATATATTCTCACAAGAATGAATTCTAATATATAGAAAAAAAAATATTTAATTGAGAGCAAAAAAAAAAAATCAAATGAACTAGTATTACAAAATAACTCATAATATAAAATTATTCATAAATTGTAGAAGTGATTGAAAAAAAACTTAAAGGCAGTCTGATCAAGCAAAATAAAAAAAAATGAACAAAAGTGTTTTTTTCTCTTTTAGAATTCCATCATCTTAATTTTGAGATAGTTAATAAAAAATAAAAAATTAATTATAAAATTAATGTAAAAAAATATTATTGATACAATACTATATTACTATTAAATCTATAATTAAATAAATTCTAGCAAATCAAATTTTATTTAAACAATATATCATATATGATACGAGCTAAATTAAAACTTCATATCGAGTACTTCACAAGTTGCTTATTGAACAACAAATGAGTTTGTTCGTGAACAAAAATGAACAGGTTCAATTATATTGATGTTTAATTCATTTAAGATTTGAGTTTTAAAAAATTGTTCAAGTTTATTTATTACTAATTTGAACGAACATGATCGAGTCTTAATCGCGTCGAGTTTGAGTTGTTCATCAAGTACATTGCTTTATTTATAACTCTTGTCATCAGCAGCCTATAATCTATCTTGATATCTCCTCTCTATGCCTCTGATTCTCTTTTGCTAGCCCTAGCTCGGCCTCTCAAAAACTTATGATTTTTGGCCTTGTAGGTGATGCTCCTAACATGCTCCTTAGAGTTACCTTATTTTGGTTTAGGATTCCTTGTGTGTGCTTTCAACCTTTCATTAGGTATTTTGTGTGGTTTTATGCATGTGGGATAGAGAATATCAGAAGTGTTTTATGTGGTTTTGAAAATATGAGAAGTACTTTTTTGTGTGTGTGATTTGGAGAAAAAAAAAGAACAATTTAACTACTTACTTTAATTAGTGTTCTTTGATTCTTTGTTTTTGCTAGCTAAATAAGACAATTGAGAAGTTCTTTGTTCGTACTGTCAAGGACTTGGGGTTTGAGTTTTCCACCTTTTTGGTTTTGGTTTGGATGCTCAAGGCAAGTGAGTGTGATGTAGGTTTTATGTTTTTCACTACTATTTTTTCTTCACTTTGGGAGCTCTTAGCTATTTATCTATTAAGTTAATCTCACTTTATCATATGTTTGGATTGTGTTTCTCCTTCTGTTCAGTCACCTGTTTCGGTCACCTATAGTGATCATATTCACATTTCAATGTTTTTTTCATTTAATAAGTATTTTTGCATTTTCGTTGTTAGCATTTGTTGTGGTCTTTGTGGATTGTGGAGTGTCAAAGTTGTTTTGCTCAAGTGAATTAAAGTAATTGTGAAAATTACTACTTACTAGTTGTCAATTACCATATTTTCAATTTTTCTTTATTGTTTCATGTATGCACACAAACATGTATTTGGCATTGTGATTATGATTATATGACACTGTGAGCCATGTTAGAGCTATTAATATTTATTACTTAGTACTACTATGAATTGTGATGTTGACATACAACTCAAGTACCACAGAAAGACAACAAATGTCCATTGCCTATTTTCTTATGACCCAACCATTCTGCTAGATTCTCCTATACACAGCTAACAAAACTTTTTTTTTCTTGGACCATATCCTGTGTCCTCCGCTTAATTTTATCAATTCTATTGAATGTTTATTATGAGAGTGAATAGGTACTCACTAATATTTATTTTGAAAGCTTACTTTTTGCATTGGTATCTTGTGGAAGCTTAGTTGACATTTAAAAAACTGTCAACTTTTTGCATTGATTTATCAATACTTTTAGTATGTGTTCAATAAGAGTGGATACTACTTGATCTTCTGTATTATTTCAATGAATATGGGTTAGATTTTCACTAGATACAGGCCCCTTTATGATTTTTATGGAAGCTTTCTCTATAGTCCGGCTCCAAATGATTTATGAATGAGCTTTTATAAGATAGATTCAATGGGTTCAAAGTTTTAAGCTCACTTTTTTTAGCAATAAACATGAACACCTTGATCTTGTTACTTCACATTTATCTTGGGTTGTTTCTATTTTACGAGATCAGTAAATGTATAAATTATATTCTTCTTATTATTTTTTTCTTCTCTCTTTTGTTATTTTAGCGATTGACATTAGTTAGCATTTGATATGGTCATTTGGTGGGTTGGTTGAGGTAGTTGTTGGTCAATGCATTGAGTAAAAAAAAGAACAATTTAACTACTTACTTTTATTAGTGTTCTTTGATTCTTTGTTTTTGCTAGCTAAATAAGACAATTGAGAAGTTCTTTGTTCCTACTGTCAAGGACTCAAAGTTTGAGTTTTCCACCTTTTTGGTTTTGGTTTGGATGCTCAAGGCAAGTGAGTGTGATGTAGGTTTTATGTTTTTCACTACTATTTTTTCTTCACTTTGGGAGCTCTTAGCTATTTATCTATTAAGTTAATCTCACTTTATCATATGTTTGGATTGTGTTTCTCCTTCTGTTCGGTCACCTATAGTGATCATATTCACATTTCAATTTTTTTTTTCATTTCTAAAAGTATTTTTGCATTTTAGTTGTGAGCATTTATTGTGGTCTTTGTGGATTGTGGAGTGTCAAGTTGTTTTGCTTAAGTGAATTAAAGTAATTGTAAAAATTACTACTTGCTAGTTGTCAATTACCATATTTCAATTTTTCTTTTTTGTTTCATGTATGCAACGCAAGCATATATTTGGCATTGTGATTATGATTATATGATACTGTGAGCCATGTTAGAGCTATTAATATTTATTACTTAGTACTATTATGAATTGTGATGTTATCATACAACTCAAGTACCACAGAAAGACAACAAGTGTCCATTGCTTATTTTCTTCGCCTAAATAGTGCACCTATGGGTTTTACAGTTCTTATTTGTGGAAGCTTAGTGGATTATTGATGTTTGCTTCACCTAAAAAGTAGCCAAACACGAACAGTGGTAATTTTTAACGAGCCGAACACAAACTGAGCCCAGGCTCGCTCATATTTGGATCGTTTACACCCATACTGACGAGAGGAGCATCAACTTGATTTTATTGATTTTTCATAATTTTATTACCCTTCAATTAATTTAACATCATGGTTTAACTCCTTTTGGAATGATGGCAAAGATATTTTGGCTTAGACCCAAAAATGGGATGAAATCCCTTAATTTAGGGAACCATTGGTCCATTGCACACCTTAGATGGTTTAGCTGAGTTTAGGCTAGTCACTAGGTGGTACTTGGTGGCTGTGGTGTCATTAATTTGGTCATTTTGGCATGGTTAAGTCAATTTTGATGCATGGGTTCAATTTCGGTCAAATTAGCTTGAAGTTGGGTTTGGTTTATGATAGCCATTGAGCCCAATTGATTGATCAATTTGGTGTAGATGATTGTCATGAAGGTTTAGAAAAGTTTTGGGGTGATTTTGAATTGATTTGAAGGTTTAATTTGAGGGATTTTGAGCATGTGGTCAATCTAGAAGTGTTTCTATTGTTGGTTACATCTAACAAGTGTCCATTAGAAATAAATTTAGATGTTGTGATTGAAGCCTAATCAGATATTTGTTGTTTTATTAAACAAAAATATGAGAAGCAAAAATTTCATGAATGTTAATCGATACACACTAGTGAACTATGTTAGATGTCTTTCTTTGATTTTAATAAAACCACAACAATGTTTTGAGATGTATTTTAAAGAGGTTGAACAAGGATTTGATAAGATTATTTATTTTTGTAGCGAGTAATGATGAAACCTTTTT